GGGAAAATCAATGACAATTCAATCGACGTCATCCATGAACAAAATGAGAGTATGGAAACATCCAAAGTGTAACGTTTGTAAAAGACACCATCCAGGAGATTGCTGGCGTGCGCAAGGATTATGTCTAAGTTGTGGTAAACCTGGACATTTCCAACGAGAATGTCCCTCTAACCCTAAATCATATTCGGTTACTTCTGTCCAAAATCAACCTGTTCGCTCATGAACAAGTCAACGTTCTAAAACACGAAACAATTCAAAGAATCCAACCCAAGGATGATACTCTGTGAAGATCCTAAAGTGCTACAAGGGCTCGAGATATATTGAATAATGTAGAGACCTTATGTAAACAAGAAATTATCTTTCGATTGTGTCCCAAGAATATTCGTAACTGCTAGAATCTTCGTGTATTGAACACTTTGTATAATAAAATCTTTCATTTGACTCATCCTGAGAAAATATTTGATATTTACATGATGCATTCTGATGTTGAAAATAGATATTTTTCTAACTTGCACAGGCCATGCAACTTAGAATAATATTTATGGTTAACTCATAATGATCATAGACAATATTATTCCATCATAAAATACATAAAGTAATATTACAAATGTAATTCTAAATCTAATCCCCCGGGATTTACAAACTCGTCATAATTAGCCCCAGAACCCGGAAAAGCTTTAGCAAACGCTAGCTTGTCTAAACGTTCATCAATAAAGAAAGAAGAAATAAAAAGCTTCCTCTGATTCAAAGCCATGAAGTTTTGCCTCACCGCATCATCTAGAAACTTAATTAGGTTATTGAAATAACCATCAATGTTCAAAAGACCAATGGGTTTACTGTGCAACCCTTCGGATGCCCATGAGATCAAAGTGAACAAACCTTCCATAGTGTCAATCCCTCCAGGAAGTACGATGAAGGCTTCCACAACATGATTCATCTCAAAATACTTATAGTAGTTGCTAGAAACTGTGTATTCTGCACCATACGTAGGTCCGTACACCTGTCGTGTCGCTATGTACCCTAGAATGAAGCCTCTAACTATACCACCATTGTTATAGACCGTTGAAGCAACAGCTCCTTGAAGGCCAACGTTGCCTCCTCCATATGTAAGCCTTATTTTTCTCCTTACCTATTCCCTTCCTAAATCTACCGCCGTAGCCATGAATCTTGGATTTCTATCAAGAGCATGACTACCAAGTAGACCAACAAATTTTATGGTGTATGGAAAGGTTCGAGAAGTTCCTTCCATATTGTGAGAATGTGAGATACTCTTGCCACAATTGTGATATATATAGGCCCTGAAACCTAACCTTTGAGAAAAAGGGAAGTATCCTCAGCCGAAATTTGTACAGCAAATATAGATTCAATTTACCTACTGGCAATGATATGTTCACTAATACTACAGTTTGCTGACGATATGATACATTGAGACTCATGAACAGTTAGATCCGCTGTCTTGAAACACGTTCAACTAGAGATGAAAAGTCAATATGGCTATGGGCCTAAGACAACGACCCCTTGAGTAATTTGATAGATTACGTAATGATGTATGGATTAAAATTTTCTCTAAATTTCCAACTATTCCTATCGTGATCCTTCTACAAATGCTATTAAGGAACTTTTCGATCGAGAAAAGATTTCTGCTGATCAATGATGTACAAACGAGACTCGTGATTGAACAAAGCTAGGTGCAAATGTGTCAAGTATATAATACTACACACTCTGAAGGAAACTTTTGAAAGGATCAATAAATGCCTTGCTTAATTGAAGTTTGTTAATCTCTTAAATGTTGAACTAGTTTAGTAACATCAACGGTTTGAGAATACGTATCTGTAAGATAACAACATAACCATGTGAACGAGACGCAGTCATGATGACAATTATGAACCTTAGGAGAATTTCGAGGATGAAATTCCTTTAAGAAGGGAAGAAATGTAACGCCCCAAAATATACCCTAGAATTATTAATAAATAAATAATCAATTAATCAAATTTGTTTTAATTAAAAATAAATGTTTGTTGGGCTTTGGGCCAAAATAAAATATGTTTGAATATTGAATATTACAATCAGGATAAGTCTCATAGAGATAAATCCAAAATGTTGACTAATTATGTGATCTTGATTGGGAACCTGTGTACAGACCCAAATCAAAAATATATGAAGAAATTATTATGATGTGAACTTTGAAATGATTTATTGAAATAAATCATTAGAACAAATTATATGATTTAAATGTGAGAAACCTTTTTGAATAAAGATCAACTAAATATATTTTGACTCTGTCAAAGTCAAACACCCAAAAATATGATGTCAGAAAAAGTATTACAAATAAATATAAAAATTATATCAATAGATAGAGTTTAACTGCCCGATCACAACAGTGCAAACGGAAATCAATTTGGAGAAAGTTGAACCAAAAAGTGTACCCCAACTGGAACCAAAATTGGTCCCAATCAGGGACACTGTGCGAACGGCGCCTCCCAGCGCACTAAGCCGATTGTGAATCTTCCTAAGCTCACCAACCAGTGTCTTCTTCTCCCTCAAATCCACTATATAAAGGGAGCTAAGCATTCTCAATTCTTCACCAAAACATATACTTCCTTCTTCTATTCTGTTGCTCAAAGTAAGGAGAACGCTGTAGTGCTGTCAATTTGGTGAGAGGTCGCCGGAGTTGGGAGTAATCCTCGCCGGAAGTTTCGCCGGAAAATATTCAAAACCTTCATTTACATTCGAGGTAAGCCCGTTGATATATTTAATGACTAGAATGTTCGTATAGATCGTTTCTACGTTCATAAACGGTCGTCTGGTTGAGTTTTGTGTTTGACATGTTTGCAGAACCAAGAATCATAAAGCATGAAATTGTTGTTAAAACTACGAATTAATTACTCTAAAATGATCTGTGAATATTGGGGAACATTCCCATATAATTTAATTGAAACTTGGTAATTATAAATGATAAAGTTAAAAACTGACCAGAGGAAGAAGATGATGAACAGTGGCCGAAAATCGATTATTTCCTTACGAAAAATCGATTATAATTTTATTCAGATCAGCGGTTCGAAGTCAGTTCTATTTAATCGATTATTTAAATTGTAAAAATCGATTATTATGAATTAATTGATTATTTAAATTGTAAAAATCGATTATTATGAATTAATTGATTATTTAAATTGTAAAAATCGATTATTATGAATTAATTGATTATTTAAATTGTAAAAATCGATTATTATGACTTAATTGATTATTTAAATTGTAAAAATCGATTATTATGAATTAATTGATTATTTAAATTGTAAAAATCGATTTTTAATGAATTAATTGACTAGTTAAATTATAAAAATCGATTATTATGAATTAATGGATTATTTAAATTATATAAATCATTTTTATAAATTAATTGATTATTTTAAATTATTTTTCTTAATTCCAGATCCTACTACGAAAATGTTTCTGAAAATATGCTCTAAAATCCTATTGTTGATACCAATTAATTATGAACAATATAAATATGATTTTGTATAATAAAAATGATATTTTAGGCATATAAAACATTATGTGATGCATGACGGTAAGTTAGAGTGTTAACACTCAAAACTAGACCGCTATTTGTTATCAATTGTTATGTTAATTGATGATTATGATAAATGAATATTATGGATGATTACGAGTAATGAACCCACTGATTAAAATAAGTATTTATGATTGAATCATGAGTAAAATGAATACAATTATAATTATGAAATGATTTGTAGTGTTAAAGGTATCTCGAGGAACTCTAAGATATACACATTTAGAGAATTGATGTTAAGGCTAT